GCACCAGGGCTAGTGCCAGAGCTCACAGGACAGATGGGAGCCATAGTGGGGCTGGGAACCCAGACTGTGTTAAAAGCAAGTGGCTCTGAGAGTGTGGCCAAGGGTTGCCGGCTGCTGGCCTCAGAGAGCCCCAGGCAGGGTTACGTCAAAGCACAAGGGGTAACACTAGCAGGGACCACTTGCCCGCAGGACCTCTGGCCCTCCTGCAGGCTCAGCAGCATGCGGACAAATGCCTGCAGAAGGTGCTGGGGGCTGTTAGGTGCAAGGGCGCCTTCAGCCCAGGCTGCGACTGCCAGCAGCGGCTGGGCTGTGGGGCAGCACCATGCGCTCTTGCTTTTCCCCGTGCAGTGGCGTTTGGCCACTACCTTTGGTGAGGAATCAGAAAACTGCATTTGTGCAGGTGAGGAGGGCTGGGGGCTCTTTGGGAAGGAGCCACCCCCCCAGCCAGCCCAGCTGTGACCACAGGTTTCACTGCCAGTCTTGTGTCACAGGGGCACAGGGCCTGGCAGGTGCCCACCCTTGGCCTCCATCATCCCCTTAGAGGTGTAGAGACATGGCAGTGACTCCATGCCGTCCTGAGCCTGGTCTGGGGGGGTTCAGCCTTTCTCTGGCTGGTGTGGCTGGAGGTGAGGAAGGTCCCCAGAACACTGCTGGACCCTGGGACTTCCCTGCTCCACTCCATCCAGAGCCGTGTGAGCTCCCAGCTATGTGCAGCAGCCTGCCTCTGCAAAACGCTTATCTCACCCTCAATCACATCCCTGTGCGGTCTCAGGGAGCTGCCTCTCCCCTCCAGATGTGCAGAGTGTGTCCGTGCTGCTGTCCGAAGCTCTCACACCCTCTGTTTCTCTCCCTTGCGTGTAGCCTGGGGCAAGCTCCTGTGCACTCACCTCAGGGAGCAGCTCCCTCTCCGCTGCGGGTGCGGTGCACGGGTTTGTGCCATTACTCAGCCTTACTTTATTTTTAGGGATGTCTTGAAAACAGACCCGTCCTTCCCAGCCAAGAGCTGGAGCCAGGTTCCCGAGGCCTGGGTAGAGGCAGCTGGGTTTTTAGCAGAGCTGTTACCTGGGGTCCTCTGAAACTTTGGGCGTTCTGTGTGGCCATAGGGACCATAACCTGATCACCCCCCTCCTGGGGGCAGGGGGTTTGAGGGTACCCACCACTGCACCCCTATCCCCCCCCCGGGGCAGCGCTGCTTGGAAGGAGCTGAGTCCGACATTCCTCTGTCAGACTGGGATTGGGGTGGTGGTTTTTCGGAAGTGCTGGGGTTTAATTTCTGTGTTGCCTTGCTGAAAAGCTGTGTGCTTCTGGGATGAGTCAGAGCAGGCAGGAACCCAGCAGCGCTGGTGCTGGCGGTGGGCAGACAGAGCTGGCGATAAGGGTGCGATAAGGCCACGAGAGCCCTACTTTCGTGCCAGGGCTGCAGGGAGTGGGCAGCTCCCAAGCCCGCTGCCTGACCTCCAGCTGCACCGCTGTCAAGGAAGCAGGGAGGTTATTTTGGGAACCGCAGCACTGGGAATATCTGCTATGTCAACAGAGCGTGAGCTAAAGCACTTGCGGGTGGTATTTTCAAATGCCCCTTCTCTGTGCCCAAGTGCCTGGGCTTTGCCCCAGGACCAGGCAGGGAGTGTGGCTGGGGGATAGCCCCAGCCTCGGTGCTCGCTCCCTAGCCAGGGAGGGGTCCGTGGCCATTCGGCATGTCCCGTGGCAGCCGGGCCCCCCGTGCAATCTGACACTGGTGGTAGTTGCCTCCAGCTGAGGTCCCATTCCCTATCCTCTTCCCACGATCCCTGTCGTCTTCCTCCAAGTCTGGCAGGAAGCTCCCCTCCCCATCCCTGCGGTTTGCTGTTTATCCTGGTCTGGTTCCCTCTTTGAACAGGGTCCCTGTCCCCTACAGTGCCCTGCGCCCTCCCACCCATCGCGGCATGGTGCGACACGCTGGGGCATGGGGACGGAGGCAGCCTTCCTCCCCTGCCTCTGGCGGCAGCCCTGTGCTGTTCCCATCTTGAGCAACTCGTTAGCACCAGCTGGGACCTGAGCAGGGGCTGTTGTGGCCAGAGGAAACATGGGTGGGCTGAGACGGGATTAGATGTGGTCAGGGAAATTCCAGCTGCCCCGTGGTTAGCACGGGGCTGCTCTGGATCCGGGAAGCCCAAAGAGGCCACTCATGCTGGCTCCCTTAAGCTGCTTCCTCCTGAATATCCGTTCCCAGCAGCTGCTGGCCTGGGGCTGTCCAGGAGAGGTAGGCGAGGGGGGGACCTGGGGCACCCCCGTGCACCCATGTGGGCTGGAGGGGACAGGGGAGGGGTGGCAGCAGGCACCCCTGAACAAGTGGATGGGACGGGCTTGTACCCTGCTTCCCAAATGCCCCTGGGTGCTGGGCTCCATCACCCATCACGTGTCAGGGCTGCTGAGGATGAAGAGCAGCATACGGGCTGCGGCACAGCCGTGGCAGCCCCTGGGAGATGGCAGTATGTGCCACTTTGGGGTTGCAAGTCTGCCTGCAATTGGTGCCTAGGGGGTTTCTCAGTGCCTGCAGGCACAGCAGTGCCAGTGGGAGGCAGCTGAAGCAGCCTGGCCTCCGGCTGGCACCGGCAATGCTGCTGGTCCCTGCTCGGTGCCCGCTCCCTGGCTGGGCTGGGCGAGATGCTTGCAGGGCAGAGCGGGTGCTTGTGGGCTCCTGGCCTGTTTGCATCTGCGGCTGGAGGGAGTGAATAAGAGCTGTGACCCCAGGCAGGGTCGGCGTGCTGGGGGGCTGCCTGTGCTGCCGACCCTGGGTTGGGGCACGGCCGGAGGTCCTGACGCTTGCAGAAGTTGTAGCTGGGGAGGCAAGTGCTGTGCATGTGCCGAGGCGATGCCGTGGAGCAGCCCCGGTGTGAATGTGTGCCAGCGAAGGGCAGGATTGTACCCAAGGGCCCGGCTTTGCCTTGCCTGCCCCCGTGGGTCGGGGTACTTAGCTGCGTCCCACTCCACTGGGTACCGGGGGGCTCTCAGGGCCGAGCTGCTACCGGGGCACTGGCTGACATGAGCAGCATGTTCATGGAACCATCTGCTTGTCTTCAAACAAGAGCACTGAGGTTCAGGAGAGGGAAACCCAAAACTCCATCCTTGAGATGCTTGCTCTGTTTGCCGAGGAAATAGGAGTTGGAAGCAGCTCTGCTCCAGTGCTTTCCCTAACCCCGTCGCTGCCCCTGTGCTGATTCATTGATTTGGACGGGTTATATACTGGGAGGGGAAGCATGAACCACACTCAGCTCTCTTGCCAGCACAGAGCTGTGCTCGCTCGGCGCTCGTGGCTGCAGGACACTCGGGTAAGTCTTCTCTGCTCTACCGACCCTTTGAGCGGCCCTGGGCCTGGGGGACTCCTGGGGCAGCTCCGAGGGGTGGTGGTGCGGCAGTGGGATCTTGCACGTTCAGCATCTTTTGATTTGATGGAGATGTTTGTCTTGCAAGGGTTCTCCGAAAAAGCAACACCACTTAGGCATTGTGGGAGCTGAAATAGGTTATTAAGATATGTTGCCTATATAACAACAGAGAAAATTAAGGGGGGCGAAGTAACATTTAGGGGGGCTGAGGTTAGGAGACCTGGGATGCTGAGGGGTTGAGCGGTAGGGAATATTCAGCCCCTTGGTCTGTAAGCTTTTTGTCCCTAGAAGAAAAGAGGAAATAAATTGTTTTCAGCTGCCTTTTCTGAAGGGTGCTCCAGCGTGGATGCTCTCTGAGCTGCCTTACCAGGGAGTGACATGAGCAGGGCTTTTGATGTGCAGAGCGTTTGGGGAAGTTCATAAATGGCTTGTTATAAACAAAGCTGTTCTTGGATGCAGATTGTTTCCATATGGGAAACATAAACCGTGCTGGCTTGTGGAGGGTTCCTCCCTCCCTGCCTGAGAGCAAGCGTGTTCCCTGGAGGGAGCCTGGGGTGGAGGGCAGGGGCTGTGCCCCAGCACCCCGGGGTGCTGTGCCAGCCGCGGCAGCGTGCCCAGACCCCTGTGCTGCCAGACTTGCCCGTCTGGCTGAGCCGTCCTCGGGGCCGTGGGAGCGGCAGGTTTTCTCCCTCCCTTGTGCCACACAAAGTTGTTAGCAGGGAGCTGCTCCATGCCAGCCTGGCAAAAGGCTGCTGCTTTAATCTAGGGAGGGAGGAAGCTCCCAGGCCAGAGGAGGGAGGAGAGGGTGTCCATGGTGGCCGTGCTTGTGGGGTGATGGAGGACCTTGTTGCAAAGCTCTTGTTCCCCCCCAAGCTCCAGGACTCCCCTGGGACCAGCCTGCATACAGGTGCCCACGCTGGACACCCCGCTCTCACAGCCAAAACCAGCCAGGGCCGAGACCTTCTGCTGGGGATGGGGTGCAGACAGGCCACCCCCGTACCCAGTCTGGTCTGGGGAGCTGGCAGAGGGTCCTGTTGACCCAGGTTCCTGCAGGATCAGCACTAAAGCACACCCAGGCAGTGGGTGCCAGCGCTGCTCTTGGCTCCGCGACAGGAGCTTAGAGCTGCTCGCCACTGGGCAGAGAGCCAGGAGGGTGCTTGGGGTACTGGGGGGGGGGGGCACCTTTCTTCCTGCCTCCACCCAGCATCCCTGGGACCCACTCGGCTGTGGGTGCCACAGGCCGGCTCCGGTGCAGGTCTCGGCTCTTCAGTGGTGCCAGGAGGCCAGCGTAGCAGCTCGCCACGCTCGCTGCAAAACAGGAAACCACGCTCCTGGCCGCTGGAGGAGCCAAGCGAGGGGGACGCCAGGGATGCCACTAATAGCTGTGGTATGGCAGCCAGGCGCCACGGCCCCCGTCTCTGTCCTGCTCTGCGCTCCTGCCTGGGCTGTGCCCAGCCCTGCCTGCTCCCAGCCTTCCTCGCCTGTCCTCCTCTGCCTCGCTGCTATGCTGGGGGCAGGATGGCCACTGCCTCGGCGGCCTTTTCCAGGGAGAAAGCAGCACCCATCCCTGGTAGAGGCCCTGGGAGCTGGGAAATCGCAGGGGCTGAGCCCGCCTCCTTTGTTTTTACTGCAGGCTCAATGGAGTGGGGAGGCTGGCAGTGGTGGCTGCTGCTGCTGGTGGGCATCCAGCTGGCCAGTGGCCAGTGCCCAGAGCAGTGCCAGTGCGTCCGCACCGCCCAGGTGGAGTGCTCCGGCGCTGGCATCACCGCGGTCCCCAGCCCCATCCCTGCAAATGCTATGACCCTCCAGATCATTAACACGCGCATCGCTGAGCTGGGTGACGCGTCCTTCGGCAACGCCTCCCTGCTGATCGGGCTGCGCATCGAGAAGAACAACCTGTCGCGCATCAGCCCCGGGGCCTTCCAGCACCTGCCTGACCTGCGCTACCTCAGCCTGGCCAGCAACAAGCTGCAGGAGCTCCCCGTGCAGGTCTTCGAGCCCCTGGGCAAGCTGGAGTCTCTGCTTCTCTCCAGCAACCAGATCCTCCAGGTCGAGCCTTCCCACTTCGCCCACCTGAGCAACCTCAAGGAGCTGCAGCTGCACGGGAACAACCTGCAGGAGCTGAAGGAGGGGGTGTTCGACCAGCTCACCAGCCTCACCAAGCTCAACCTGGCCAGGAACAACATCGACCGCCTGCCGCCCCGGGCCTTTGAGCGGCTGGCACGGCTGCAGGTGCTGCGGCTCTACGAGAACCGGCTCCGGCAGATCCCGGCAGGCGCCTTTGACGGGCTGCCGGAGCTTCAGGAGCTGGGGCTGCACCAGAACCAGCTGGAGATGCTGTCCCCGGAGCTCTTTGTGCACAACGGGAACCTGCAGAAGCTCTACCTGTCCAACAACCTCCTCGCCACCCTGCCGAGCGGCATCTTCTTGCCCCTGCGTGCCCTTGCCAAGATCACCCTGCACGTCAACCGCCTGCGGGACATCTCCCCCAGTGCCTTCGGGCCCATGCCGGACCTGCGGGAGCTGTGGCTCTACGAGAACGAGCTTTCCACCCTCCCAGCCGCCGTCTTCAGCAACCTCACCCAGCTGCAGCTCCTGGTCCTCAGCAAGAACCGGCTGCGCTCGGTGGCGCCGGGGGCTTTCCGGGGCTTGGGGGAGGTGCTGGAGCTGTCGCTGCACTCCAACTCCCTGCGCCGCCTGGACGCCCGGGCGCTGGAGGGGATGCCCAAGCTGCAGAACATCTCCCTGCACCACAACCAGCTGCAGACGCTGCCGCGGGGCCTCTTCGGGGCCACCCCGGAGCTGCGGCACCTGCAGCTGCACTCCAATGCCCTGGAGTACCTGCCCGCCGGCATCTTCTCCCCCCTGGCCACCCTGCGAGAGGTGAGGCTGCACAACAACTCCTGGCGCTGTGACGAGGGCATCCTGCCCCTGCGGGGCTGGCTGGAGGACAACCCCCACAAGGTGGGCGAGACACCCCCCCTCTGTGCCCAGCCCCCCACCCTGCGGGGCACCCCCATTGCCAGGCTGCCGCGGGACCAGCTCCTCGCCCCCCGGTCCCCCACTGCCTCCCCCCAGCCCAGCACCCCGCTCCCCGCTCGCCCCTCCGAGGTGGCGTTGCCAGAGGGTGCCTGGACGGAGCCCCCCACGGGGCTGCCGGTCTCCCCACGGCAGGAGGAGAAAGAGGAGGAAGAGGAGAGGGGCCGGTGGGGGCTGACACGCATGCAGAGCGGGGTGGTGGTGGCGGTCATTGTGCTGGTGTGTGTGGCCCTGCTCGCTGCTCTGGTGGCACTGGTGGTCTACGGCTGTAGGAAGAAGAGCCACGTCGTGCTCATGAGGATGAAGGCGCCCAACGAAGCCTGAGTGCCTGGCAGACCCTGGGGGGAGCGGTGCTGGCAGGGCATCCCCTCCCCATGGGGCCAAGGGACGTGACAGTGGCTCTGTATCAGCTGCCCTTGCTGACTGGGACGGGCCAGCATCATCCCGTGTGCTGCGTGTCCCCCCTGTCCTGCTCTGCTTTGCCCTGCTCTGCAGCAGGGTGTCCCCCCGGGTGACCTCCCACGGCTGCCCTCTGTCCCCAGCCCCTCCTGCCTCCCGTGCAGCCTCTGTGCTCGTTCCCTGCCTGGGGGCCAGCGGCTGGGGTGTGGGGGGCTGAGAGGGACCCCTCGAGCAGGGAGCCACAGCCTGACCACGATGGTGCTTACCCCTCCACCTTACATCATCCCCTCCAGCGCCGCCTGCCCTCGCACCGCCTGCCGCCCACCCCCAGCCCATCTGCCCCATCTTCCCCCCGTCCCTGCTATGCCTTCAGCCTCTGCCCCTGCCTGGGCAGCCGGGTGCTAGCTGTCCCACAGGGCCGGGAGCTGAGCGAGCGCCTTCGCCCCCAGCAGAGCCTCGTGTCCTCGCGCTGCCTCGTAGCTCACCCGCGTCCGGGTGCGTATCCCCGCAGGGCTGCGCCGCCTGGGCCTCACGCTGCTGCTAGCGTGGCACACCCTGAGTGACTCGGCCGTGTCCAAGCTGCCCTCCCTGCCCGCAGGCAGGGTGGGCCAGAGCGCAGCCAGCATCTTCCCCCGCTTCGAGCGGCCTCCTGCTTCGCCCGCCCTTGTGCATCTCCAGCCAGGAGAGCCGCCGGGCAGCGTGCTGGTGTCTGGGTGCGGCGGCAGCCCCCCTCAGCCCTCGCCGCACCCTGGTGCTAACCCTCCTGTGGTCGTGCCCCTGCCTGCTGAGCCCTGCCCCAACCCCGTGGGTGCTCGGGGGGCTCGCACCAGCCCCTGCTGTGGGGGAATTATAGGGGTGGGACGACGGGTGTGAAGTGTCTGCCAGGGGCTGGGAGAGGCTCCTGTGCTTGTGCCCCAGGGCTGCTGGAGCACGCCAGGGCTGTTCCTGCTGCACCCCATCCCTGGTCCTCGCTGCTTCAATACCTTCGTGCACCCTCCGCCAGCTAGTGAGCAGACTGGCCCTGCTCTGCCCGGCAAGGCTTCTTCCTCCTCCTTCCTTGCGTGTCCTCCTGTATGTGCCTAGTCCTGCTGCCTCAGGCAGCAGAGGTGCTGGCGGCCCACAGTGGGGGGGTCAGCAAGTGCTGGCTGCTCTGCAATTCACAGGTGGGTGCTGTGCCAACCCCCCCCCCAGCAGCACCTGCATCCAGCGGTCACCCTGCCTCCTCCAGCTGTGGCACAGCCACGGAGGGGTCCAGCTCACCTCTGTGTGCGGTGCGGCGCGGCAGTGCCAGGCTGCCTGGGGATTACTGCCACGGGACGAGGGTCACGCTTGGTGTGCGCCCCATAGTGCTGGCTGCTCGCAGCACCCCAGGAGCCAGAGCTGGTGCAAGCAGCCCCACACTCATGCACGTGATGGGATACTCCTCTGGACTGTGACCTGCATGGCGGCGGGAGACGGGACTGTGCTGCGGGGCTATTGGGTGCTGTTCGGTGACTTCTCCATTAAAGTGCAGTTGTCCACCCCCAGTGCCAAAAGCTGTTTATTCGCTCCTCCATGATACGCAGTCGGGGAATTTCCACACCTAAGAGTTTTTTTCATGTTGAGGAAAAGCCCATACAGGCTGGTGAAGCTGGAAGAGGGTTAGTGGGCTGTGGTCGCAGAACCCATGCTGGTCCTTGGGCTCCAACCTGGGGTGAGGGACCAGGGAGGGCTCAGCCATCCAACAGCAGCGGGATGGCTTTTGAAGAGTGAGCTGAGCCCTCAGCAAGCTTCTGGGGCAGGGCCCCGAGGGTTTAGCCAGCACCACCCTGGGGTGGTGGGGAGCTCGCTTGGCTCCCCTCAGGGCTGGCTGCCGCTGGCTTGTGTCAGCTGAGTTTCTCCATGTGTCACTGTTTGCTCCACCGGTCTGGCTGACTGCATGTAAGTGTCCCTCCTCCTGCCCCTGGGGGTGCCTCCATGGCTGCTGCCACCCCAGCCTGTTCCACCACAGGCCCTTAAGCTGGTGTACACTGCTCCCCCGGGCAGGTTGCAAGCTCCCAGGGCGTCCAGCTGGTCCACAGGTCCCTCTGGCCATCCCACCGCTGGCTGGGTGCACGTCATGGGCTGCAAAACACCTGGTGCATCTCAATATGGCAGTCCTGGGGTGGTCACCTCCCCATGGCATTGCTTTGCCTTGCTAAGCTGTGCTTGGTCCCCTCTCATGCAAGAGATGTTTGCTAGCACCATTTCCCAGTGAAATTTAATAAAGTCCAGGGGGTCTCTCTCGGGGGCTGCCGGAAGCAAGCGTGCTGACCTCAGTGTGGGACTGGTGCCACCCGTGACAGCAGCACCCTGCCACCATCCCTAGGCCAGTGGATGTCCAGGGCCGGAACCCCGCTTCCCTGCCAGGATGCTTGCTGGCAGCTGCCTCTGGCCTCACCTCCAGTTCCTCTGGGGCTGGGTTATTTTTTGAAGCACTCCAAGGACACGGGTTGTTGTTGCCGATAAGCAACACGGGGCAGCTCCGCCCCAGCAGGAACAGCTCATCGGCTGACTTCCCATCCGCCCCAGGATACGTCCCATCTCAGTGAGCAGTGTGCCTGCAAACCTGCCGCAGGCTCGGTGGCAGTCTCCACGATGCCACACTTGGTAAGTAGTGGCCAAGCCATTTGGGTAGTTTGGGGCACCTGGGGCGGGTGGGAGCTGCTGTTGGCTCTGGTGAAAACAAGTGAGATGGAGAGTAAAAGCCACGCCCAACACTGCTCTCAAGTGCTGGTGTTAAGTCCAGGATAGCCCTACTTGTGTGGGGTGTCTGCAGGAGGGCATTGCTGGGGGGGGGCAGCATCCCCCATCATGCGGCAGCACTGGCATGTATCCCAGGTAAGGAGGGACTGGCAGAGGTCTGGAGGCTACTGCCTCAAAAAGTGCTTCCCGTGGGCTGGGAGGAGGCATTTGGTCAAGCTGAATATCCCTTGGGCAGGTTTGATGCTGCTCTAGTTGCTTGCAGAGAAAGAAGTACTTGATGGGCAGTTAGAAATACAACCGGTGGAGCCCGCTCCTTTTGTCACCGAGCACAGAGCAGCCCTGCAGTGCTGTCCCCACCACCCAGTGTGCGCAGCACATCCCCGTGCTTCGCATGCTCCCCCAGTCCAGAGCCCGGCTTTGTGCCCATGGAGATACCTTGTGAGGCCACAGGTTCCCCCAAGACCCCTGCGGGAGCACACGGGTCTCACCTCAGCCGCTGCTCTGCAGGACGTGGGGACCTTTCATGAGGGTGGCACCACCCTGGTTGTCACAGGGCAGACTGGAGTGGGGCTGGGGTGCAGGAGAAGAGCCCCAGTGCAGGGGCAGGCGAGGAGAGTTTTGGGAGGGAAGTGCTCCTCGTTCCCGCAAGTGGAGTGCTGGGGTGGTGCGGGCAGCTGTGGCTGGAGAGACGCCCCATGGCCAGGGCAGCTGCCCACGCCGGCAGTGCCCCAGAGGTTGCTCCTGCTGCCTTTCTGGCTGCAGAAGCCGCTTTCCCAGCAGTGCCCACCTGCGGGTGCAGATTTCTGCCTCACCGAGGCAGAGGATGAGGCTCGACTCCTTCTCCAGTGCAGGCTGCTGGTCTACGCGCTGCTGGGGCTGGGGTCCCTGCTGGTGGGGGGGCTGCCCCTGCCCTGCCCCCCCACCTGCCAGTGTTATGACACCTCCAAAGTCTTCTGCTCGGAGGAGAGGATGCGGGAGATCCCGGCAGGCCTGCCAGGGAACGCCACCCAGATCTTCTTCGTGGAGACAGCCCTGAGCAGCGTCCGCAGAGGGGCCCTGGGCTCCAGCACTACCCTCACCAAGCTGGTCTTCCTCAACAACAACATCCAGGAGCTGGAGGCCGGTGCCTTTCAGGGGCTGCCCAGCCTCATGGAGCTGGAGGTGTCAGGCAACCCCTTGCCAGCAGTCAGCCCGGAGGTGCTGGTGGGGCTGCCCAGCCTCAGCAAGCTCTCCCTGGGCGCCAATGCCATCCACTCCCTGCACCCGGGGCTCTTCGCCGCTGCTTGTCGCCTGCAGGACCTGCACTTGCCAGGGAACAAGATTGAGGTTCTGCCCCCCGACATCTTCCGCCCGCTCCGACGCCTCCAGACCCTGGACCTCTCGCAGAATGCCCTGGCTGAGCTGCCGGCTGGGCTGCTGACACCACTTGTCGCCCTCCGCCTCCTCAAGCTCAGTGAGAACCTGCTGACACGGGTGCCCTCCGGCGCTTTCAGGGCACTGGGCCGGCTGGCCGAGCTCCACCTGGATGGTAACTGGCTGGAGGAGCTGCCGGCCAGCGCCTTTGCTGGACTGGGGGGGCTGCGGCGGCTGCAGCTGCAGCACAACCACCTTGGCAGCCTGGCCCCTGACATCTTTGCCGGTCTCCCCAACCTCACCGTCCTCAGCCTGGAGGGCAACCGCCTGGCCACCCTGCCTGCCACCCTCTTCACCGGCACCCCTCACCTCCTCCACCTCTCGCTGGCTCGCAACCAGCTGGAGACGCTGCCCCAGGGGCTCTTTGCCAACCTGTCGGCGCTGCAGACCCTGACGCTCTCGCACAACGCCATGACCCATCTCCCCGCCGGGGTTTTCCAGGCCCTGGCAGGGCTGACAGCACTGCAGCTGAGCCACAACAACCTCTCCAGCCTGCCGGCTGCGCTGCTGGCCGGGCTGCCCCTCCTCACCGCCCTGGCGCTGGACCACAACCGCCTGGCCCACTTGCCCCCAGGGCTCTTCGATGCCAACGAGGGGCTGGCACACGTGGGGCTGGCCGACAACCCCTGGGCCTGCAACTGCCACCTCGCCTATCTCCTGGGCTGGCTCCAGGGCTTCGCCGAGCCCCTCACCCACGCGCAAGCCTCCTGCGCCAGCCCGGCCACTCTCCAGGGACGGTTCCTGCTGGAGGTCTCCCAGGGGCAGCTGGAGTGCCCGGGAGCGCCTGGCATCCCCCAGGAGGAGGGCTGGGACAAGGAGCGGGGGGAGGATGCTCTGGGGCAGTGCACCTACAGCAACCCTGAGGGCACCGTAAGCATGGCCTGTGATGCCATGAGCTGCCAGCAGCTCAGCCTTCGCCTCCCTCCTCCTCCTCCCGGGCAGGTGGCAGGGACGGGGCTGGTGTACCAGGGTGCCTGGGTGCTGCGCTCCCGCTGTGGCACGCTGCAGGTCAGCGTCCTTGTCAGGGCGCAGAGCGGGGATGAGGCCATGTCACCAGCTCTCCCCACTGAGCCCTAGAGCTCGGGCAGGCGCCAGCTTCTGCCTGCTCTTGCATTGGCAACCTCGGAAACAGCATGCCATCTCGCTCCGCTACCCCGGTGTGGTCACCAGCCAACACCGAGCTCTCTGCAAAAGCTGGCCTAGTGGTATTTATTCTCCCAGCTATGCGTTTGCCCTGTATTTCAAATATAATTAAAATGTATATATGACTTCTGTGCAGCCAGTTCCCATGGTGGAGAGAAGAAACGCTCTGTTCCCCTTGCCTCTGTCTGTGTATCTGGGAGGAGCGGTGAAGGTTGCTGTGGTCCGCCAGGGACTTGGCCGGGGCTGTGCGTGGTGTGGCATGGGTGCAGGTGCCTGGCAGCGAGTAGGTGCCACTCTCCGGCGTGCTCATCTCTGCCCGCTGCAGCCTGGCACTAACCCCCAGGGCACGGGTTTGGGGTGGGGTGTCCAAGGGAGACATGGGCGAGTGCTGCCGACCGCCCAGCGAGGGGCACGGGCTGCCTGGCTGCAGGGTGGGCTCCAGCCCAGGGCTGTGCACCGGCAGGTCCCCCACTCACCCTGGCTGGACTTGGCCTGCGGCCCCCCCCCCCCCCCAGTCAGCCCCACGGAGGCTCCGCGGAGACGGGGCGCAAAGTCCCAGTGGGCGCTGCCCACCCAGGGGATGGCAGGTAAGGTGGGTGCTCCCCTAAGAGAGGAAGCGCGTGTGCACGCACGGGTGGGTGCGTGTTGGTGGGTGCACGCACTGTGCAAGGCGTTCTCCCGGCGGTTGCGGTGCGGTGTTCCTGCACCATCTTGCGGCCGCTGGGACGGCCACCTCCAAGCCTGGACCAGCGATGCTGCGGCTGGCTGCAGCTCCCCAAACCCTGGCACGGCTGCCACACCACGGCCTGGGGAGGCTGGTGTCACTCCCGCCGTGAGCTCTGTCCCCTCGTCCACCCTGGCTCCTGCCACCCTGCAGCCTCCGGAGCGGGCTGGCAGCGAGCGGGGACCTGGACGCATATGGCAGTGATGTTGGAAAGGGGTACGGCTGTTGAAAATGTGCAGTAGTTTGAGTGTTTTTAAATGTGCCGGGAAAGGTATAATGAAGCCCAGCATGTGCAAGCTGAGCCTTCATAAGAGCAGGTGAAAACTGAGGAAGAAATGTTTAAATGCAGTTAGTGCAATTAGCCTTTGGGAAGCGATGGATGCCTTGTCATTTTAAGTCTTTGCATCAAACAGGGTGTTTCTTCCCACAAGACACCCTGCACTGGCCAGGAGCCCTGGGTGTCACTGTGGGAGGGTCTTCAGCTTGTGCTAGGACGGAGGGGAGCACAACGCTGAGCCCCAGCCCTACGGGCAGCGAGGTGTGGAGCCGTGGGGCTGAGCCCAGAGCCTGGGTGTCAGTGCATCTGCCCGGCCGCAGATGTTATCCCTGTTATAAGCTTAAACAAATGGCTTCAGAGCAGCACCTTTAGCTACATAAGGCAATTCCTGAGGAAGGAAACAGCTGGATATTTTTAATAGGAAAAGCTTTAAATAGGAAAACTTTCTGTTGTGTCGGTGGGGGTGGTGCCTGTGAAGCTGATTGATAGGTTACACTGGTGGAGATGTGGGACTGCAGAGAGCATCAGCTACAAAACAGGCTGGCCTGGAGATCTTCAGGTTTTCCTGGATGTAACTAGTCAAGTGCTGCCAGCAGATAACACGTGGGGGGTACGTGCCTGTGACTTCTCTGAGGGGTTTCTGCAACGGCCTCCCACACTGGGGGTGCAGCTCCGCTGCCTGCTCCCTGGCCGTCCCTTATCTCCCCACGCAGACCTGTGCCCTGAACTCATGCGAAACCAAGCCCTGTGCCTGGGCTGTGGATAAAGAGCTGGCCAGGTGATGGGACCCTCGTCTGGTGGCCTCGCTCCTCACACGGCACAGCTCGCTCTGGTGGCTGGACTCGTTCGCAAGTGCTCAGCCAAGTAAGTGATGCAAAAAGCTTTATTTGCTCTTTAAAATGTGCTGGGAGGGACAGCTCTGGCGGGGCTGGTGATTGTTTCCTTGCAGCAGGGAGCAGGAGAGGCTGCAGCACCGTGAGCTGGGGCCGTCGCTCCGTGTCCCTGTGCTGCTGGAGGGTGGGACAAGTAAGGAGCCACACTGAGGTCCACCACAGCCAGACGGGGTGAGGGAGAGTTTTAACAGAGCTTTGCAGTTCAAAACTGTTTATTTTCATGCCCATGCACTCGGTCCAGCCATTCCCACCTGTGCATTTAACCCATTGTGCTGCCCCTGCAGCTGAAGTGAAGCAGGCACTTTTGCAATCCGCACCCCCGGCTCCTGCACCCGAGTCTCCCAGGGGAGAGGACGGGCAGGGGTCAGCAGCAGCTTCTGCCCTGGGGAACCCCACGGGGCAACTGGCACATACCTAACCTCCCATCGGTTTCTCTTCAAACCCAGTGGCTTTCAGCCTCCTGTATTTGCTGACCTCTCAACGTTTTTCAAAAAATAACTTTTCATAGCAAATTTACCCTCCCAGCATAAGTTTTTTGCATGGTCAGCTTTGATGGACACCCAAGAGGCAACCCACAGCCATTTCCCCTGCTCCCACCCAGGGCTGTGAACCACAAGCTGGAAACTATGGTCTCAGTACGACGCTCGTGGCCATTAAACCCCAGCTAATGTGTTAGCTGAGTGTTTCCAAATGACTTGATGGAAGTGGTGGACTTTACGTGGCTATTGGTGGGTGTGCATGAGTGACTTCACTTCCTAACTGCGGGTCAGAGCCCTAAATGCTAGGTGTTGAAGAGTTCATCTGTGGACATTTCATAGTCTTTTAATGAGCCTCGCTCTAAAGCTTGGTTGCTGTTCACAGGTTAACCATTTCTATCTGACAGAGCTGCATAACCAAGGCCAAAATATGATGTGATTAGCAAGAATCTTGAAAAGGAGATGCTTAGAAGCCATGTGTTAAATGACCCCCCTGAACTGATAGAAGCACCAATGAAATAGCAAGTCCAGCACAGTGTGGAAATTCTGAGTAAACAAGGTCATCTGGTCTTGGCTGGCTTCTGGGACCCTTTCTGGTGCCTCATTAGCAAGCGCAGGGCTGACTGCTTCTGTTGTTGCATGAATGGGCTGTTGCCCTGCTGAGTAACTGGACCCACTGGGGCAGCGCTAATGGGCAGCAGCACTTTGCCTTCTTCACCCAGACAGATGCCGAGCCTACAGCCCAAATATGGGAGAAGGAGGGCCAGAGAACAGACCGTCCAGCCCTTGTCCCTCCTGGAACGTCTCCCAGTGCCAAGCCATGAGCTGGCTCATTCTGCCTTCCTCTCCATCCCTCGGTACCAACGGCCATGAACTCTTGTAAACGCAGCGTACGTTGGCTTGTATGGTCTCTCTCCTAAAATGAGTTATGATATGCGAATAGAAGAGTCCTGAGAGTTGAATGACAACGTGGTACCACAGTTCATGAGCTGTGGATGGATATTTTTTGTTCTTCATAACTGATTTTTGAAATCTTTTTTTCAGGACAATGTACCAGCATTTCCTCTTCCTTTTCTTCCTCTTCTTCCATCTCCATAAATGCCAAGATCAAATCCTGGGTGAAGATCCATATGAAATGCCCAAAGACTACCAGGAGGTCTACAGAGGGACAAAAAATGACATCAAAGAGATCCCAAAGATTGTAAAGCCCTTCATTTCTGAGATGATCTTTGTGCAAACCAGCATCACTGCTATAAGGAAAGGTGCCTTTGGGTACATGCCCAACCTGATCAAGATTTTGTTTATTGGCAACAAGATCAAGACAGTTGAACCTGGAGCCTTTGATAATTTGGTCAAGCTGAGGGACTTGGAGATCTCTGGTGCCTTGTTGGAAGAACTAGCTGTGGGCACTTTCCAAAACCTCCCAAGCTTGCAGAGGCTGGAGCTGAGAGACAGCCACCTCAGATACATCCCCAAAGGCCTGTTTGATGGGCTGGAAAATTTGGGAGAGCTCTCCCTGCACATCAATGCAATCTCTTCTCTTCCAGAAGGCATTTTTGATTCTCTCGTCAATCTAACATTTTTGGACCTTGCTAGAAACAGGATCACAACTCTTCCTGGGGATGCCTTTAGCAAACTCCCTCGGCTGCAAGTCCTCCGGCTGTATGAGAATGAGTTGCAGGACCTCCCAGAGGGGCTGCTAGACAGTCAGTCGGGACTGCTGGAGCTCAGCCTTCAGAGCAACAGGCTCAGGGCACTGCCATCCATGTTTCTGAGGAGGCTGCCTCACCTGGAGAAGCTCCTCTTGGACAACAACTTCATCGAGGTTCTCCCACCTCAGGGCTTTTTTGGTTTAAACAAATTGAAGCTGCTGACTCTGAGTTCAAACCACATTACGGAGCTCCCCTGCTGCCTTTTTGACACCATGCCACACCTGCGGGAGCTGGACCTGGGCAGGAACAGTTTGGCCATGCTTCCAGACGGCATCTTTGTCAACCTCACGTCTCTTGGCAAACTCATCTTGTCCCACAACCAGCTAGCAGCCCTGCCAAGAGGAGCCTTCACTGGGCTCAGCAAGCTGTTGGACCTCCAGCTGGACACAAATCAGCTCTCTGCTCTGGATGATGAGGTCTTTGTTTCTCTCCCAAATCTGAAAACCCTCAACCTTCGGAAGAACCAGCTGGAGAGTGTGCCCCGAGGGCTTCTGGACCCCCTGAAGAAGCTCAGCTCAGTGTATCTGAGTGGAAACCCATGGAGATGTGACTGCAACCTCTGCTACCTGCACAGCTGGATCCTACGCAACAGTGAGAAGGTCAAATTGTCCACCCAAGTATCATGCAAGAGTCCACCCCACCTGGCAGGGCAAGCAGTGACATCGCTGAGGGATGACCACTTAACTTGCCAAGCTACTCTGCCTCTTTCAGCTTCTTTTACCCCATCTCTGCCATTCACCTCCACATCATCACAGGGGATATCAATGTTGCTGTCACCTGGAGCCTTGCCCACTGCAGCGCCAACCACGTTGTCACTAGCAGCCTTTCCCATCATGGCACTGCCAACCAAGCTGTCACCTGTGGCCACCTCTGCCATGATGCCAACCATGCCAACGGAGGCCTTCTTCACCACTCCATCACCAACTGTGCTGCTGAAGGCCTTCATTGCTACCTCATCATCAACCAATGTGCCCAAGACCTCCATCACCACACCATCATCAACCATGCTGCCCAAGACATCCATCACCATGACAACATCAACCATGCTGCCAAAGGCCTCCATCACCACCCCATCATCATCTGTGCTGCCTGAGACCTCCATCACCACCCCATCACCAGTTGTGCTGTCTGAGGCCTCCATCACCACCCTATCGCCAGCTGTGCCACCTGAGACCTCTGTCACCACTCTATCGCCAGCTGTGCCACCTGAGACCTCTATCACCACTCCATCACCAGTTGTGCCACCTGAGGCCTCCATCACCACGCCATCACCAGCTGTGCTGCCAGAGACCTCCATCAACACACCATCATCAACCATGCTGCCAAAGGCCTCCATCACCATCCCATCACCAACTGTGTTGCCCGAGACCTCCGTCACCACCCCATCACCAGCTGTGCTGCCAGACACCTCCATCAATATACCATCACCAACTGTGCTGCCCAAGGCTTCCATCACCACCCCATCACCCGCTGTGCCACAGGAGGCCTTCAGCCTGTGTGTAACTCCAGCCGTCATAAGCCTACAGCCTCCTGGGACCCCCAGCCCAGAGCCTGCACTGCCCACTCTAGCTTCTGCCACCACATCAGTGCCAACCAGCCCGCTGGCAGCCACCACCAGACAAGCGTCTCCTGCTCTTCTGGTGCCCGCGGAGAGGCCAGCCACCATTCAGTGGGGGACATCCAGCATCTCCCTTGTCTCGGCCCCCCCTGAGGCACTCTGGCCACCCCCCAGGGCTGCTGTGCCGGGCACGGTCCTTCTGGCCTCACACTCCCCGTCCCACCGTGCTCCTGCGCCAGGCGGGGAGCTGGACCGTGCCACCGCATGGGACTTGTCCACGGTTGGCACCCGGCCCGCTCCCACTGCCCCCCAACGCGCTCCCACCCCTGCAGGCACCGTCCTGCTCCCGACACCTCCTGTCCCCCCGCCGCCAGACCATACGAGCCCCTGGCCGGCCTCCCCACCCCTGGCCCCCAGCGGCCATCACACCTGGGGCTTCGCCCTGCGGTCCAGCCCACGGCACTGCCGGGTGTCCCTGGCCCTGGGCCTGGCCGCGCTGGCGCTGCAGGCAGGCTGCACGCTGCTCTGGGGCACACTCGTCCTTCTCCTGCGCCAAGCCACCCGCCGCCGGGGCCACCCCATGCCACCAGTGAGGCTGCTGCGTCTCCAAGCCCTGGGTGCCCCGGGGCCCCCCGAGCAAACCCGGGCACCGCTTTGAGCTTCGCTCCCCCTGCGTGAGCTGGGCAATGCCCGTCGCCCTCCTTTGGGGGGTCTGGAGCCACGGGGTGCGCACGTCGTGGGGTGCGGACCGTCCCCCGGGGGTGGGTGTCCCAGCACCCAGGCTGTTTTGGGGTGCCTCCCAGCTGGCCTCTGGAGATGCTGTGAGCCCGTGCGCGGTGTCGCTGCCTGACGGGCCCTTCTGCCAAGCGACACTAGATGGCATCCCGACATAGGCGGTGGCTGCCACTGCCTGCCCAGGGCCACCGGCAGCAGAGAGGGCGAACAGGGGCCCCGAAATGCCGGAGACCCCGCACCCGGCCAGCTGGAGACCTCGCTGGACCCCGGGCACGGCCCGCTCTTGCCTGCACGGTCTGGTCGGGGGTTCTGCCTGCATCTCCTCCCCATCCCTGGCGGGTACCTGCAGGGTGCGAGCAGCCCTTGGGGAAGGAGATCCCAAGGCCTCCTGCCCCGCGCCCCAGCTTCTTCCCCGCGTCGCGTTACGGGATGTGTCGGTGCCCGTGCATCCATCATAACACTCTGACCTCTTGCTCTCTCTTTCTCCCTTCCCTCCTCAGTGATATTAAAGCCTCCGCTGCATCTCTGCCATGCACTGAAGGGCTGGAGAGAGGAGTATTTTCATCCCAGGGCTTTTCTCACTGTGACCTGCTGCGGGGATTCCTGTGGCTTGCGGGAGCGTGGGGGTCCCCAGTGAGTGCTGGCCGTCAGGGACCGGTGTAGGACCAGGGTTGCACACCCTCCTGCAGGCAGCAGCATAGTGAGGCAATATGCTTTTCTCCCCCCTCTTAAATCTCATGCCCCGAAAACCTCTTTGCGATGCTGCCTGTCCTGGCCTTTCTCGAAGAGTAATGTTTGAGCATGGCCAGCCACGTGGTTCTCATACCATAACTTCACCTGGTGCTGAGCCCTGACTGCAGGCTGGGCACCCGCTCTTCGGAAGCTCGGGAGGAAGGGGCTAACTCTCCTCGTAACAGAAGGGCTGATGTGTGCCTTCACCTCCACAGTCCTGGGCTGCCGCCAGGGCCAGGCAAGTGCCAAACCTAAACAAAAGTGGCTGTTTCTGCGGGTTTTCTGCCATCACAGAAAGCGCTGAAACTTTCACTGGAAAGCTTTAGCCCAGGAGATTTTTGAGCCGATGAACACAGGGGTTGTTCCTTGGTTTGGGTCTCTGGGTACCTTATTTTGCTCTAAGCTCAGCATTGACTTTGCCCTGTGCCAGGCAAGCTGCTCCCAAATTTAATCACCTCGGTTACTACAGGGTTGCAGGTATCTGTCTTCAACTCCTCACCTTTGCCACCGGCACCTTCTCTGTCCCGCCCTGCCTTTGGGTGCCCTTCCATAAGTGTGGGGCATAGGGACTGCCTGGCTTTGGGGTGGTCTCAGGAAGGTGAAGCCCTGAAAATCTGTAGTCTGGGCATGCGCTGGGCAAAGAGCCACGGGGAAGCAGCTCAGAAACCTCCTGGCTGGGGAGCCCCAGCTCCCCTGCCTGGTGCAAGACCGAGGGAGGGGGAAAGGGGCTTCGCGTTAGGGTATGTGCCTGTGGCTGTGCATTAAGGACCTGGATATATGTCTTTGCTAAGAGCCTGTGCAGTGTTACAGGCCCTTCGGCTGCTCCTTGAAGTCCTGCTGACGGCTGTGAAATACGGGAGGCGAGTGCAGGGCAGCACATCTGGGCGGGATGGAGCGAGCGGCTCCAGGGCTGGGGCTGGCACGGCAGGTAATGAGACGCAGATGAGGGGGAGGGAGTGTTTTTCCTGGCAGTCCAGATGGGCTCGACTTAATACTTGATTTAGAGGGTTTGAAAGCAGGGCCTGGCTGCTGGGGAACAGACCCCAAGCACTTCCTGGGGCGGCAAGGGGGGGTCTCCGCTGGCTTTTCAGATATTTAATGGCCCAGCGCAGCCTAAACAGGGAAGTACTTCGGGGTGAGATTAGCACAACATAATCACATCTTAAAAGGTCTTCAGAGACACCAGGCACGTCCGCTCTCATATTAATTACTTGTTATTAATAAAGCTGGGGTCAGGCTAGAGGTGTTCACTCTGGAGTGTGCTGATTCCCTCTTTGCAGAGCGGTGGTGTATCTGAAAGCAGCACAAAGCCCCGCCAGCCTCCACCTGTGCCCGTCCCGCTCCAGAAACCAAATGGCCAACATTCCTATAGCTGCCTTTAAAACTAATTTGCCCCATAATACCCCAAAAGGGCCATGTCTTTCTAAGTGCCCAGAACACCTCAGAGTGCTGTAAAATAATAATAGCCAGGGTGTTCCCAGCACGGGAATTTCCTGCTATGATTGATTTCTAATTTGCAATGAAAATACAGCTGCCTGTGTTCCCGGGTTCACAGGCAGGAGTCAGCTCCCTCCGTCGCTGTGGGGCCAATCCCTGGAGGGCTACGGCTGGGCTGGGCTGGGAGGAATTGGCAGCCATTCCCATTTGCCCCTGGTCGCCCTGGTGTCCCCTGGGAGGGAAGGGACTGAGAGGCGGGTGGGATGCAGGGTGTTCTGGGGGTGATGTGCCTGGGCAGCCTGTAGGGGAACACACTTGGGTTTCCTGAGCAAGAGCAGCCACAGAGCATGCGGGGATGGGGCAGAGCGTAGGGGATCTGCACTGCAGAGACCAGAGTACAGGTTTGCTGCTTCAGAACTGCACCTCTCCGCGATGCCAAGGAGAGGCCTTCCTCCCAGTGGGGAGGTACATGGCCGGGGCAGGTGCAGGGAGTACACAGCCCCCAGCACGCCCTCCCCGCTCTGCTGTGGGCAGCCCAGGCAGCCCTTTGCAGGACAGCCATTGCACTGAGTAGTGCTTGATGATTTTTTAATCCATGAATTTCTCTGGTTTCTCTGAACTCGGGTAAGATTTTAGTATCTGCGGCACCCTGTGGCAAGGAACGCCCAGGATTGCCCACGCAGCGAACGAGGCAGCACCTCCCTTCGCTCTGCCCCTGCTCGCCGCTCCTTGCATGGGATGCCCCTGGTTCTTGCATTGGGAAAAAAAAAAAAAGGTGAGCCTCCCTGTGTGGCATCTCCAGGCTGCTTGTGACACTGTAAACCTCTTCCCAGTTGCTGTGACTGCCTGAGGTCCTCGAAGTTAGCCTCAGGTGACAACCAGTCAGAAGCGGAGACAGGGCACTGTGCGTGCATGCCCTTGAGCCGCGCTGGGACTAGGGGGTCTCCAGCATGGCCTGGGAGTCCCACAGCTGCTGCTGGCTCTCTTCCTGCCCCGTGCAGACGAGACGTGGTTCCCACAGCCCTCTCACTTGTGCTGCAGTACCAACCCGTAACCCCTCTGCCCGTCAGCCTCGCCGGGACCCCCCCGCGCAGCCTGGCCTGTCCCTGCCACCTGCCTCCGGTCCCCTTCCTGCCCCCGAGGCACCCCGTGGGCGGGAAGGGGGCTCGCGAGCGACAGCCCTTTCTTGTGGCTGGCGGGAAGGGGGGCAACGAACACCTGCACGGGGGGATTTGCACAATAACCCGGCCGGGGAGCAAACCCGGGCCTCCGGCAGGCAAGTCCCACTGCCGGCTTGCGGCTGGGAACCTGCCCCGGCCCACGGCCACACTGCCGCGGCTTCCTCCCCGGGCGCCCGCCTCGTGTGCTGGCCCCAAACACGTGCCGTGGCTGTGCCGGGAGGGCTGTCTCGCCGGCTGCTGGTGTGGTTTGAGCCCCCACGTCTCTCGTGACTGCCTGCCCCGGCGGGGTGGGGAGCTGGGGGCTCCGTGTGCTGCGGGCAGGGCGAGGGGGGGCTGGTTTGGCACCAGGTCCCCTAGGAGAAGGGAGGTGCTGGCAGCGCTGCCTGAAGAGGTGGGACGGGCAACATGGGACCTTGCGGGGCGAGGACCCGAGCTGGGGCACCTCCCTGGCAGAGGCAGCTGCAGCTGCTGGGATCAGCCTAAGGACCGGCATGTCCGGCACCCAGCCATCCCCTGTTGCGCTCAGCAGAGATGACCGTGGGCTGGCAGTCATTGCTTGGTGTTGCTGCTGTGCCCTCTCGATGCCGATGATGGTTTTGAACACCAGCACCACTCCTCCGTGTGTCCTCTGGACGGTCTGCCTCTCCCTCCGCATCCTTCACCCACAGCATGCACCCACTCATGGCACCCATCCAGCCACATCAGGCTGCTCCTTGCCAAGAAGCCCTGTGAGACGTAAGGGGCAGGAGCTGAACTGGGGCATTCATTTGTCTGCTTCGGCCTTGGCATCTCCCAACCCTCCTGCAAAAGGGCTGCAGCCACATCCCACCGGGGCAGGGGCCTGACCTTCCCCGGGGCAGCTGGGGCAGCGAGAGGACACCCAGGCATGGGGGACAGGGCCCAAGGGGGTGCAGGGCTGGCACCCCCGGCGTTCCCATCCTTGGTCCACCTGCTTCACACCTTGTGCTGCCCATGCTTTTAGCCAGGATTTGGGCAGGGCACGAGAGCAAGGGCGAGGAAAACCAGCCGGCGCATCCTCCCTTGGGCAGCGGGAGAGCCCAGAGGAGCGGAAGTCTCCTGTTTGTTTAAGGTGCAAACAAGTGCTGTTAATCTGCTGCCTGTTTGTATTTCTTTAGAGCCCCTGAGCGCGCGGGGGGAGCGGAGATGGGGTCTCCCCTTTGTGCGGGGGCAGGGTCAGGCTATTGGAAATGGAGGTGAGAAAACACAGAGGGGCAGCTGGAACCTGCTTTGGGAGGGAAAGATTTTTTTCGGCTATTTATGATAATTAGTGGGAAACGTTCCTCAAGCGTTTCAGATGATTCTGTAATGAAGTTGGGCCGAATGTTCCCGCTTTGTTCCCCTGGAACCATTAAAAATCCCCCTTCTTTGGCTGCCTTAATGCAATGCTGAAAAGGCACAATGGCATAAAAGTGGCTCTGGGCAGGGCGGCACGCCTCCTGCCCCGCCAGATAGAGCCCTTCAGAGCCCAGATTTTCTGGGTTATAAACCTCAGTGCTTGCAATGTTCATGCAAAGGCTGCTGTGGATCCTGCGCCCGGGGCTCCTTCACATCCCTGATGCCGGTCAGTGTGTGTGAGTGCCAGCCGGCCAGCACCACCAAGCTTGCGGCACGCTCAGGGGGAACAACGGCCAACACAAACACACCAGAGTGAGAAAGGGCAGGCACGGCTAGGGATGCCATCGCGCCGCTTTTATAGAAAAGCTGCTTTCGAGCCATGGTTGTGCTAGGAGTTTGCTGGGGTGAAATGCTGCCCTGGGAGGGGACTGATCCCTGTGCAGGGGGAAATGGGGAGTCCAACCCCAAGGAAAGTGCTTCTGAGTCAGTGCTGTTCTGGGCCAGATCCT